GTGATCCAGCTAGTGTCTTCAAGTCCTCCAGTACCTACCGCATCACCGCACCGCAGCCGGTCCAAGGCTGAGGAAAGGATCCTTTGCCTGAGCCCTGAGCCCGACATAAGGACCGGCTGCCAGGCGGGCTCTGCGCTGGAAATCATGAACCCAGGACGGGGCCAACAGGCACACCCCCTCCCCCCACACGATCCCTCCCCTGCTCCCGTGCTTTATTGCAATGTTCAGTGCACTGACCCGTGTTTTGGGAACACTGAGTGACAAAGCTTGGCCTGCGGAAGAGCCAGGGGCTTGAAGGTTCGGGATTGGCCCGTCTTACGAAGCTACTCTTTGGGACTAGTGCCGCCCCGCTCCATCCCGGCCAGGCCAGGTCCACTTTGTCCCGTCCACTCTGCCGGCTGGCTACGGATGCCTTAGTCAATTTGCAAGTCATGGATGGCCCTGCTTATGGGGGCACCTAGCTCCCGTGTCGGCTGAGTATTACAGCCAGCGCAATTTGTGGATTTCATGACTGCGATGAATTCGGGAACCCTTTCGAGATGCGCGAGGGTCCCGATACTGGTGACCGCGTCAAGTGTCGGAAAAGCCAACTGTGCAACCGGGTCCATTCGAAGCTGGCCTTGAGTTTCTGGACCGATGATGACATGTGGATTCATCTACCAGTGTACGAATACCTTCGAGTCTAGAGTCTGGACAAAGCTGGTTGGGGAGATGGATTCGCGTCGAAAGAGCCCGTCGTACGTCGTGCCATGGATTGATCCATGCCTCTGTGGTTCAAGAGGCCGTATCCCACCGGCACGAGCCCGAGACCGGTCGTTTTCATCGGCTGAGCCCTTACTTGGGTGGCTCTGTTCTCAGGATGAGGTGCTAGACAATATTTGTCCCTTGGTCCAAGGATATCCGTAGATTGACATCACCTTCCGATACCGCCGGTGTGGTCAAAAGTGCCATTGAGACTCCAGACTCCAAACCCCACGGAAACCGTATTCTGGTGAAGGAATGGCCACGGCATCGTCCGACCTTCTGACAGCATCTTCCCGGATCTTTGCCCACGGACCTAGTCACTACCTCATTCGGATTACCAACCAACCAACTAGCCGGCGCCTCTCGGGGCAAATTATGTCAATGGGAACAACAGACAGCTCGACGGCACACGATCTGCACTCGCGCTTTCGCGGCTCCACTAGGACGGTGCACCTATGGGGCGCAGGGTCGTTGCCGACGATCCTTTACCCAGCAAAATGCCGCCAGTGTCAACTCTATTGCCTGAGTAGCCATCTCCCGTTCGGGACTCATTGTGCGCGCGCAAGAGAGGCCAATCTGGCCACAATCCGACTACACGAGCGATAGAGCTCGTCCGTTGTTTGGGACGGGGACTTTTCCTTGAGCCAAGAGAAGATTTCGGTCATTGTCCGGTGGGGTAGGGGGTTAAGGGTGTGAATGGGTGTTGACGTGGAGCATCTAGATCTGCTAACAGGCACACCTCAGGCTATGAGTTACTTCTGTATTATAATAATGGATGCTCGCCACAGGGCCATGACGACCAAACCTTTGACCATGGCCAGCAACTGTCCAAGTGAGTACGATTACCTCGTTACGGGGCCGGGAATGGTACCTTTGTGAGTGCCTCTCAAACATGGCCTGCCCATGCGGAGGTAAGGTATCAAGGCGCGGAGACTTACGAGGCATAGCCGCATACCTTAGGTACAGAATCCTACTGATACTCGATTCTATCTCGGGAGGAAGGTTATGGGGCGGGAGAGGGAAGCCGCCACAGACTCACGGTGTGTGGGTGTCGGGTAGTGAGGGCGCCGTATCTTAGCCCTGTGTGAGGAACTTTGGGATAAGCTAGGCCTTGTGTGCGGGCTGAGCTAGGTAGCTTGGGGAGCCGCGCTTTTGAAACCTGTAACCCGGACAGGCTGCCTACTGGTTTTCCCCCAACTTCCATTGCTACAGATTACGGACGCCTACATATACCCGTGGACCACTGGGCCTTACTTTGTATGGACACAGGACCGTGGTGGAGGGATCGGCCGCCCTACAGAACGCCTGGTGAAAGCTTGGATCTGAACGGCGGCCCCCAAATTGGGTAGCAGTTCCCGCGTTGGGGTAAGGGCGATTCTGAAGTACACTGGAAGCGTGGAGACAGACATGGACGGAGGGCAACAACGCATTCTGAGGTATTGGTTCCAGGAGCCAGCCAGGCCAACTGCCGTTCCGTTGGTTGACATGGCTAGTCGGTACGAATAGATCGAGGTTGGCGAAGAACGGCGTGAACCGATGCATTCTGCCGTTTACCATTTTCAAGGTGCTTCTGCGCTGGCAGATCCTTCAAAAGGGGCCGAGCAGGAGGAGCGCGAGGGAGGCGGAGAGAGAAACGGAATCTCTGTGCGTGCAGCCCAGCCCTACGGCGAGACGGACATAGGTACCCTAAGGTACGGAGTACGGATAGTAGGACTCTCTATCCGTGTCCGTAGAATCTGTGCGAAGATCCGTACGAAGATAGAGCAGAGCACCTGACATTCCCTGTCCTTTCTTGTGTAACACGAAAAACCGACAGGGGATGTAATCCTCGGTACCGGAACGGATACGTTCATCGAGGGGGTGGGGCGCTGCGAGTCGCCTTTTTCCTCGAGGGCTAGGACTTTGTTGAAACATCGAAGCAGAGTCGACGAGGTAATTTCGGCGGATGAGATATATCGAGCATCTTACAAAGCAAGACAAACGAACAAAAGGAGCCAAACCTTGATGCTACGTCATCAAGTGTGAACCAAGCTGCCCGTTCGATTCGTAGGCGACTGACGTGGGAAGTGAATGTGCAACAGTTGCCGCCTGTTCCATGAGCATGAGGACCGGCCAGCATGGAGGCTGAAGATGAGGAATGATGCACTGTCGATACCAAAATAAGATGGGTAAACCAGACTGGTTTGATTCGCGATGGTGTCTCGTGGTAGCATTTCTCAGTTATTGATAGAAGAAGACGAATGCAAGATGGCAAAATTAGCCTGGGCTAGCGACGGCAGGCCCAATGAGATGTCGACGCTTCCAGTCAGTCAGTCCTACGATGGTGAGGACCTAATCAGTATTGAGCATCTCGGTATATCACCGCGCTGTCGAGTTCTAACAATACCTGCCTATCTTTGCTACCTCTCCCAGTGCAAGATTGGTAGACAATACTCTGTGTCGGTGGGCAATTCCAATTATGACTCTGATGGATGGAGATGATGCCGGGGCTGCCTTAGCTTGGATAGGCGCCAGCGATGCCCACCCCCCAAAGACGGGAAGACTCAGGTTGGTACGGAACGTCAAGAGTCGTCCACGGTGGTGGTGCCCCCGGGTTGACGCTGCCGCTGCCGCTGCCGCTGTTTAAACCCCGAGCGACAGTCGGATGCCTTCCACGGAGGTGAGCAAGTGAAGTGAGATGCCCCTGCTCCTGAGTCTTTTGCTGTCCTTCCCCCGGTCCACTGCCCCGTGCTCCATCTCAACCATCTCCACCCCTGGACCCTCGTCCACCCGAGCGCCCCTTCCCTCGTTCAGTTGTTCTCGACTTGGAGACTCGAACTTATCGCAACCCTGGCGACGGCTACGGTGCACTCACAGCTCATCCCTTCCCGGTCGGGTGGAGCCATCGTGGAAGTGCGAGATGCACGGTACGTACCTCCACCGTCTCTTTGAAAATGAGACTGAGAGTCACTGAAATGTCGGCCCAAACCCCTGCAATACAGCAACCACCATCTCCTCTCTCCCTCTCTCATTCCCTGTCTCTCTCCGTCTGCCCCTCAACGTTGTCCTCCGCCGGCGTATCTGCAGTGCAGCACCCATATCCGTCAAGTGTGTGTGTGTGTGTGTGTGTGTGTGTGTGTGTGTGTGAGTGTCTCCTGCCTCTCGTCACCCACCGACTGTAGCCTGGCCGTCAATCTATTGTTTGGCCTCCGTCAAATCTCGTTGCTGCGGCCTAGCCCAGCTGATCCCTGGTGCCGGTGCGCCATCTTTCTGTGTTAGTGCCAGCCTACGCCTGCCTCACCCAAGCCGTCCCGTCGTAACGACTCAAACTGAAGTAAACGGAGAGGGGAACGAGGCGTCGCTCTTGGCTTGCTCCGTTAAAACCAAAAGGTCATCAGGCACCTCCTTCGCCCACCACACCCATCCTCCTCCCGTCTCTTCTGTCTGCGGACGGATGCCGTTCACTCTGCCCTACGGTCCCTTCACCCCCCTCTACTACCTACACTCCCCTTTCTCACATTCTCTCTCTCTCTCTCTCTCTCTCTCTCTCTCTCTCTCTCTTTCGCTCTCTCGCTCTCTTGCCCCTTCCCCTCCTCCTTCCTTCCCATGCGCCTCCATCTCCATTCCCTGAGGTAGGTAGGTATCATGTTATCCTACCCTCCCTGAGGTAGGCATTCGTAGGCTTTCACCACTCATACTCGCTCATTCGCTTTCCTTACTCACCCATCTGAACCCCCCCACCCTTCCACACAGCCACGCCCCTCCCCTGCCTCCCCTCCTCGTCTTCCACCTTGCGCAAGGCACGGTACCTGTGCCCTTCGTCTACTTGCCCGTCTGTCTTGCTGCGATACCTTGTACTAAGATAGTGTACGGTACGAGTCGACGCCCTGCGAGGACAAGCACCCTTGCTCGTGCTTGCGGTCCTTCGCACTCACGCCGCCAGCCCTGTCGTTGCTGCCGCTGCCAGCCATGTCGTTGCTGCCGCTGCCAGCCATGTCATTGCTCCCGGCTTGCTGGGCGGTTTGGGCTGAGCTCCATCCATTCTGTGAAGCCTTGGGCGACTTTTTATTTAATAGCTTCCTCTCCCCTTCCTCTGCCGTGCCTCGTTCTGTCAATCCCACCTTCAACAATCTAGACTCTTTCAAGTCACGACTTGTCGACTATCATCAAGCTATCTCTTCTACATCATACCCCTCTACAGCCAAATAGTCATCCCGTCTCCATATCCCAGCATCGTCTTACACCAAGAGGCGCGACAACACCACAAGCCGCCTACAATGTCAATGTTCACCATGTCCCAACATCACCCGTACGCCTATCCGGCAGCCGCTCCCGCTCCCAGAGCATACTCTGGCCACGGTACCAGCAGCGCCTTTAGCAGCTCCGCCAACCCTGATGAAGACTGGACCAAGATCTCCGACCTTGCTGAGCGCAGGAGGATCCAGAACCGCATCGCTCAGCGCAACTACCGTACGTCAAAGTCGCAGTAATAAAAGCGATAATTGCCATCGCAACACTCTACAGTCACGCATACTGATACCAGCTTATAGGCAAGAAACTCAAGAGACGCCTCGAGGACCTTGAAAGACGTGCTGGACAGGAAGGCACATCCCCCACCGAGAAGCCTGCGGCACCCAAGAGCTCCAAAAGCAAGTCTGCGAGCAAGACTCAGAAGACGCCCTCGCCAACCAAGACCATGAACCAGGGCCAATTCACCCCTCCCATGAATAACGACGACGAAGTCTTCTTCGCACAAAATCACTATGATGGCCGCGAGAGATCCATCACTCCTCCGTTCCTCGCATATTCGACCTACCCTCCAACCGAAGAGATGATCATGGCTCCCGCATACACTACACAACAGTACCCCATGACAGCCGCCGAGTATCCCACATATCTCGCAGCGGCGGTACCAGTGACATTGCCGCCCATGAATCACTTCAACGACGCCATCAAGCGCGAGTCTTACCACAGCGACGACGGTCTTTCCCCATACATGAATTATGCGTACATGCCTGGCATGGAGATGAACACGCAAAGCTCCTACGACCCCACGAACCCTCATGTGAGTTTTATGCGACAGCCGCCTTCACGCGATACCTGATGCTGATGGGTTGATGAGCAGACTCCTCCGCTCTCACACTCGTTCGACCACTCAGCCAACTGTTCCGATGCCGGCTACGAGTATCCCACAACACCACTGTCAATGCCGGGATCTCCTGGTCTGGTCCACCAATAGAACAGCGCGAAGGAGGAAGGAAACGAACATGCTCTATCCTTGTTTGCCAGAGCGTCGCATTTCTGGTGACCCCAATTTGGGGTTTCTACCCTTTGACTCTTCTATCATGACCACCCACCCCCACCCCCCTTTTTGTTTTTCACATCTGTAGCGTGGCTTTGGCCAGGAGTTTGGGGGCGTTTGGATCGCATGTATTGGTCGAAGCGCTCGACCTCACGGAGATATGACTGGGAATAGGCGACGGCGTTCTACTTTGGGCAGATTGATCCATCACGGATCGTCTTGTTACGAGGTTTGACACAGCAGTCCAAATTTAAAAGACGAGATTGTCCCAAACATTCTTTGTACTATAGAGAAGCTCCAAAAAAAAAAGTACCACGATGTCAATCACACGTGTGCATCATCTATATCTACTCGTAGAAAGCGTTCTTGTACTGATATGTATGCGAAGGCGAGATGGACATTTGTTAGGGAGTCCAGACGGTAGCAGTGATTGGCAGTGAAGACGAGCGGACAGTCCTAGTCCACTGTTACACTGTAAGTATGATAATACGAAGGGTGCAGGGAAGGCGGAGTTAAACATCAGTCTGGCCGAGTCGGGTACGGAGAAAATAGTTTGAAGCTTCTTAACTCCTAGCACGGCAATTTTCTTGAGATACAACATACGAATTGAGGTCAGGACAGGGCAGCTGACGTGGCACGTTGAGGAAGATACATTTCGGATCGAGGATGAGGTTGGCAAAGGAAGCACGCATGGTGCTGTGTTGATCGTAGCATGGAAAGATAAATGTCATTCATTTGGGGTCAGGCCGTAGGTTAAGCTCCATACTCCGGCGCCCTGGATAGCAGGAGCATGGGGAGCTCGAAGCATCTTTTCGAGACCTCATATCCAAGAAGGTGGAGACTATCGACAGCTACAAAGATCGGGATTCCAGCATCCTGACCAAGCACTAGAGATGAACGACGTTGCAGTACCACCCACATATGAGCCTACGCCGCAAGCGAGTCTTCGACAGGGATCAGAGATTATGTCACTGGAGAGCGGAATGTGGACGATAGACGGGAACACACGACCTGACAACATAGTCCATATTCTCACACACGCGGAGAAATACCTTGAAACAAGATGACAAAGACAAGGGAATAAGTATGCCCGCAAACATGCTAGAGCAGAGCAGCCAGAATCGTGGTTTCGTTAAAAGGGATCTATCTGTACGCGTCTGGGAAAGTACCCGATGGGCGGATGTTCGCCCGTGGTCCGGTCGGGTCTGAAATCATCGTCATCTCCGGGTGCCTTGGGTCGGACGCCGCGGCGGCGGACGGCTTTCAGAACGGCAGCAGCGCAGCCTCAAGGGAAGTCACAGAGGAAGACCTTAGGGAAACTTGCGGAGGTTTGACTCTACCTCTAGATAACATACAAAGAGTACATTGGATCAAAGAAGAGGAAATGGAGGAGGAGGGGCACTTTTAGGAGCAGCCACGAAAACGACCGACCAGCCAGCCGCGTCTTCCCTCCCCCTTTGCAAGTAGCGTCCGAAGAGCCTACGCGTACAAATGGAGGTTCAGGAACATGACAAGTCAAGGCCATGAAAAGTTCTTTTGAACGGATGATGAAAGTCGAGACCTCGCACACAACTGCGGGCAAAGTCGGGCACCGAGAAGACTTTGCTAGATCCCTTCGGGGTCTTTGGCTGCAGTAGCAGGCATCGCATGATATGTATGGCCTGGCACGGGATCAAATACCTCATGGATGGCGGTTCGGGGATAGTATTCGGATGGTATGAAGACACGGGGTACGGGGGATAGCATTCGAATGGGATTAAGACACAGGATACGGGGTTTGAACCGCTCGCTTGTCACCTTCGGCTGCGCCTGTTGCTCGATTGGGGATGTATGCCATGGTTGTACAAGAGAGTGCCCCTCCCCAGTCATTCACTTGTTGGGCCCCGGTGAGGCCTTAACTTGCCTGACGTGACACAGGAAGGATTCGAGTCGGCTGTCAGGTTGCGTACTGCATCTCTCACCCCCTAGCAAGCGTAGAGGATCAGAGTTACGGGGGGGAGAGTGTGTGCCCCAGTGTGTGCAAAGTTGCCGGCGACCGCATGATGTGTCACCAACGACCTCTACCGTTGACAAGGGCCAGTCGGTTGTGACACAGCATTCAACGTAGACGCAGAAGGACACACCTATTGGAGACGGTTTGCCGCGAACTCTTGAACGTCGAGCAGGGGTGGGCTGCAGTGGGGCCAAACGGTCTGGGGTAGACCGTAAAGTTGTCGATGGAGCTAAGTATTTGAGAGATTGGGGATATTGAGGCGTCCAAAGCTTAGCAACCATGTTCCGGGCCACTCCTAATTACTTAGTTGTCGACCTTGGGGAAGTCGCCGGGAAGTCGCCGAGGGCGGCAGAACGCCATTTCTGAGAGAGGAACACGACCGAATGGGAGGGGAGTGCGGGATGAGAGGCTCGAGGGTGCCGTGAAAAAGAGAAGCCCCCGGGGGGGGGTCTCCCGGAGTTAAGCCCCGTCTGCCTTCCGTCACCAGTGCTTCGTGCCGTGTCGTGCAATAGTAGAGCCTCTTCATAGTATTCGTCCGGCGTGCTGGTATCTTAGGTAGATAGGCCTATTCTGTGAGCTGAGCTGGGGCGGGATCGATTCCTCTTTCCTGAACGACAATACGTGGTTCTTGGCTCAGTGTTCCACCCCCAAGTCTCTCTTCTGAATTGTACAGTCCACCAACACGATGGCTGTCCCCGTGACAGCGCTACGCAGTGCCGGGACATGTGCATAGGTAAGGACTCTGAGGTAGGCAGACGTCACACTTTCGTCTGTTCTTTAAATAGGGTCTTGGAGGAAACCCGTTAGTGACCGCGAAGGTCAACGCTGCGCACCGGCCTAGGCTAGCTGGGTGTGTCACCGAGTGTATGAAGAGTGCCGGAACTAGATGCTCGTATTTCTCTGTCATGATGGCTGCCGAAATAGCCAGAACTCTGAAATCTGCTCAGGATGGATATTTCCCGACACTTCCTCATCTAGGCCCCAGAATCATCCGACAATAGGAGGAACGGGTGAGGAGCTGCGCAGGCGTTTCGTCTGCAGGTGGATACGGAATTGGACCGGGGCCGGAAGGAAATCGGACGGAAGTAAGGACGCTTCAACAGCACTCAGGCGGGCAGGGAACCTCTCCAAAGTCCCTTTACATTGGTACAACGTCCACGTCCAACCACATCGCGGCAAGTAAATCCCAGTTCATGGGCCAAGGGTTCTGAGAAAAGCAGGCAGATAGGGTGTGTACATGATCTGTCGTTGGCTAGCAGATGGATCACGCGTCGAATGGGGGTCTAGGTTACCTTAGGCCTCCTATCCCATTCTCAAACCTATGGAGGCACTGTGTTCGTTCGCTTCGTCTCAAACATCATGGGGTAGATATGCATCGTCATCGTCCCGTCTTATCTCCAAAAATCATCCAAGGCCGCAAACAAGCCCGGGGGATCTCGACAAACCTTATCCACTGTCACCTTACTAAGTTCTAAATCCTAGAACCGCCATCTTCCTGGTTCCGCACTCGGGGCCGATACGGCAGTAGACCGGGTGCAGAACCGGCCCAGCTCGACGCCCGTCCTCTCAATCCCGTCACTGCGCTAAAAGAACCTCCGTCTACGGCCTATTCATGCCTTGCCCATGGGCGCAAGCAAGATGGGCAGTTAGATATACCTCACAGAAGGCGGGACGGCCGGTGAGCAACGAGGAACACGCGATGAGCGATCATCAGTAACCACGCTATCCAAGTGAAATGTCCTTTCAGGCATCAAAGTCGTTGTCCATCGACAACTATGATTATCTCTTACGTCGCCTCACATTGCCGTTTCCTCCAGTTCAAGGAGAGCCATATCAACCCCAGTGGCATCGTAACGCATCGCACCGAGGCAATGAAAATTACCAAGTTAAAACAATGAGAAAGTGCGTCGCTCATCCGAATCCGTCGAGGCAGAAAATTGAGCCTCAGCTAATAAGGCAACGTCAAGTTCGCTCACGCTTAGCCCTCAAAGACGTGCAAGCTCGAGCCGTCGCGCCATCCTGCGCCAAAGCTGACTGACTTAGGACAATGATACGGACGCCAAGGCTTGCGGCTAGCAAGCCTGAGGTCATTTTGCTCGTCATTGCATTTGCCCTTCTTCGCCTCCACCCTCTCGCCCTCGCCCTCGGTCTCACTCGCGCTGAGCCATAACATTCATTTTGATAAAGCTCGTCCGTGTATCGAAGTTTCACACGCATTTTATGGTCTGTAATCCTCCATCGGCTAGTTGTAAACTTTGGTAGCCGCGAGAAGCTTGCTTAACCTTCACCGGGGGCTCCCAATCGACTCGATTGGCCGGCTTGAAGCTTGGTGTAACTACCCTAGCATTTTTCAGCCATCCTTCTTGGGTCTTGACACAACAGGCCGTGATCATCTCGCAGTCTGTGTCTTGGTTCAACTATTCTGACAATCTGCCTATCCAAATGCATGTGCTCAATCTTGAGACAATAGCACAGAGATCAGCACATCATTTCCGCCAAGACAACGACTTCCCTTTGCCGATTACGGCTCTGCCTCCAAATTTGGTTGGCTAATTAGTGGCAGGCGGCAAGTAAAAGTACTCAAACGAACTAAAGTATGCGCTGTGAAGGATGAGGAAGCATGGACATCACAGCCCTTGTACAGCCACCGTCTAGGAACCCTGGAGGAGCTTAGGTAACCAGCAGAAGTTGCCAAGCCACAATGGATACTTCCGTACTGCACGCTCGCCCGCCCATCCTATTGGCTGGAATGCATTTGGCGGTACCCTAGCCTCGCAAGAAGTCGATGAAGTCATCACAATCCTTCGCGCTTTTCAACGACTCTTACCTGCAGTCGATCACCCACGACACAGCCCTATCAACAGCGCCAAATACGTTTATAAACGTCAAACACACCTTAAATCTTGCCATCGACTTGGCCGCTGTGCTGGCAATTGATTAGCTCAAATCTTCGTGTCAAACCCGCGCCTCGGCTCGACTGCCGAAACGGCACTAACGCTGCCAACCTGACAAAGCGCACATCATGCCTCCAGACTGGAAGTTACTCTACCTTTATGGTGGTGACAAGTTAGTGTGCCCAGGTTTGATACACGAGCGTTGCTTCAAACCGTCCTTGACAACCCGTCTTAGCTGTATTACTATGCGTGTGTGAACTTGCATGGTTGACCGTCATCCACAGCCCCTGGGATTCAAGTCTATGGACCGATTCGGACGACAGAGTACGCGGCGGTAAGAGCCAGTCTCATTTGCACTGCGAGTCTCCGGAAAAAGCCGAGTTTTTTGGGGACTTGGACATCACCGCTCTAGGAGGAGCAGGCTTTGCGTCACAGAGGACGCTCGGCACACTCGAACTGGATTTGAGCCAATATGATGGGCTTGTTGTCAAAGTCTTGAAGAGCGACTCCAAAAAATACACGCTCACAATCAAGGACGAATTACTTCCGCCGAGAGAGGATGGTCGCGACCAGAGCACCATTAGCTGGGAGTTCGACTTCGTCCCTGAGGCGGGCGAGGTAAAGATTCCGTGGGAGCATTTCAAGCCAACCTACAGAGGCAGGGACAAACCTGATGTCAAGCCACTAGATGTAACCAACATTAAGAGAATCAGCTTCATGATGCGAAGGTGAGATGCACGCCCATCCATCAAGTAGCCCCTGATGGTTACTGACACTTTTGCAGCTTCTTTGGTACCCAAGCAGGCGATTTCAGTTTGACAGTTGCCTACTTGGGCGCTTTCAGCAACCGGCCTGTGTCATCGGATTCCGACATCTCGTTCCAGAAGGAGCATCTCGCTCCATCTGCAACGGCTAAGGTGTCATCCTGGTTGGGTTGGATTTGCGGATGGGAAAGACGACCTTGACTTGCCACAAGGCTTCGAGAGCCGCATTGAAAAGCTGTCGTCCGGTAGAAATCACTGATGTTTTTGGAACATCTCAGGATAATTCACGGCGTCAGGGTCGGCATGTGATTTCATTCCATAAGGCTAATTAGAGCCTCAAGCAATCTGGCCCAATACCTTGATCAAATCAGCCGTGACACCCATGGCCGTGACATCTCCACCAGCGCCCGCCCCCTGGACGATGAGTGGGTTGCTGCCGTAACGTTCCGTGTAGAAGCTGATGATGTTATCGCTGCCCTTGAGGGCGGCAATAGGGTGGGATGCGTCGAATTGCTCCAGGCCAACCTTGACCTGCTTGCTGGCGACGTCGATGCTACCAACAAAGCGAACGACCTTGCCCTGCTTTTCTGCAGCAGCCTTGGTCTCCTCCATTTGAGTGTCAAATCCGGGCAGCCTCTGCAGGAACTCATCTCCGCTTGAGCATGACTCGAGCTCCTTGGGAATCAAGCTCTGGACAGGGAACGAGGTGGGCGACTCGACGGGAAGTCCCGCCAGTCTAGCCAGAATGGTGAGCTTACGGGCGACATCGAGGCCGTTCAGATCGTCTCTCGGGTCGGGCTCCGTGTAGCCCAGCTCCTTGGCCTTGGCCACCTCGGCAGACCACTTGCCGCCAGCGCCCGAAGTCGGAGCAAAAGAGTTGAAGAGGAAGGACATAGTACCGCTGAAAACACCTTCAATCTTGGTGACGCGATCACCCGTGTCGACAAGATCCTTCAACGTCGAGATGACAGGCAGGCCCGCGCCCACCGAAGACTCGTGGTAAACCTTAGCACCGGAGGTCGACGCCGCGCTGAAAATATCCTGCCACAGCTTGTAGGACCCAGAGAAGGCCTTTTTGTTCGGGGTCACGATGCTGATTCCCTTACCGAGGAAGACAGGGTACGCATCGGCGACATCCTGGGAGCTGGTGTTATCGACTAAGACGACCTTGGCCGGGGGAGCGACAGCGGCAAGATACTCGGCGAGCTGGGGGAGAGCAGGAGGAGCTTGCGAAGCGCGAGACAATTCCTCGATGGCGCCAGCAAAGGGGATGGGAGCGTAGTTGGCATCGTACAAGGCCTTCTTGCTGGTCGAGATGTAGATCAGAGTGAGCTTCGGGGACGGTCGACGGGCAGCCAAGGTCTCAAGCTGGGACAGGAAGCATTTTCCAACTCCGCCAGCACCTGTTATTCACCAACCGGTCAACACGAGTTTGCTGCGACGTGCAGTAGGAATCCGAAGAAGTATAGCTCCTTGGCGATCTAGGGGTGTGGATGATTCTTACCGATGATTGCGATGAAAACCTGTTTAGAGGAGGCCATTTTCAATTGCTTGATTTCCTTCCGTCAGCTGCTTAACGATACAATTGCAAAAGACCGCGTTGTGTGATTGAATGCAAACGCTGAGTGGGAAAGACAAAACGGCTCTCGTTTTCGAAGCCCCCTCCGACCGCGGGGCAGCTCGTAGTGGGGTAACCACCATTCGGACCCCGATAATCTTTCGGTGAGTGCGGGGTCGGTGTTCCTCTCACCGAGGCGGCGGCCGTCTCACCGAAGGGCCGGATCCGGCAGACGGGCAAGTCGGCATTCCGCAACTTTTCGAAGCCCGAAGCCCAGGGAGCTTGGGCCCTCTCTGGCCAGGTCGTGTCGTCATTCACTCCAGCCTCACCAGGGGTGAGTTTCGGCCGAGAGGAATTCATACAACAACTTAGGGCTGACTCCAAGGCAAGCTCAAGTCAACTCTGTGCCGCATAAATGTTGTCCGTCCCTCGATTTGCACCCTAAAAAAGTGGCCTGGAGTCTTCTCTTAAGCACCATCCACCATGTCACTACTACAGTCTCTCTTGCACCTCACCAACTTTAAGAACCCATTGCTCCGGACATTGATCCCCGCCGTCTCGGCAGCTTATGCGATTCAGGCGGCCTTCGCTGTGCCGTCAATCCTCGCACAGAATGAACGTTTCTACGACTTCTCCGGATCGTTGACCTACCTGTCCGTCACCGCTCTAAGCTTATATCTGCCCTCGCTTCGTGCAAAATACTCGTCGACTATTGCTAGCTCGGCACCGCTTCCTAGCTTGCTCGAGGCTTTCACCAAGCCCGGCGGCGTGGGAGCCCTCAATTGGAGACAGGTTGTCATCAGTGGTGCCGTCGCCTTCTGGGCTGCTCGACGTACTGTCCCACCCTCCTGCCCGCGCAGAACTGTAATCGCTGACTTATGTGAATACAGTGGGATCGTACCTCTTCCAGCGCATCTTGGAAGAGGGCAAAGACTCCAGGTTCGACGAGATCAAAAAGTCCCCAACCAGGTTTGCCGTCGCCTTCTTCGCGCAAGCAACTTGGGTCTCTATTTGCCTCATGCCTGTCATCGCTCTGAATTCCGTGCCCGCAGCCGCCTTTGCCTCTCTGCCCGCTTTCAAGGCCTCGGATGCCCTTGGCTTATTCGTCTACGTCGCTGGGTTCGCTTTCGAGATCACGGCTGACAGACAGAAGAGCAAGTGGCTGCGCGAGAAGCGCGCAAAAGCCCATGATGAACAGTTTATGACTAGCGGTCTCTGGAGTGTTAGGTATGTCTCGTTGCACCTGGTTGACGCGTGTACTGCAAGACCACCGTGACGTTGCTCGACCACAGGAAAACAAGTTGCTAATCCTTCTCCAGCCAATACCCCAATTACTTTGGCGAGATGTCATTATGGACAGGTTTGGCGACTGCGGCAGCTGGAGTACTTGTGACACAGCCTATTCAACTGGCGCTCGGCTTGTCATCTGGCGTCACCGGACCACTTACTGCGATGGCCATGTCCTATATTAGCCCGGCCTTCGTTAGCTTCCTTCTTCTAAAGGTCTCCGGAGTGCCCATGAGCGAAAAGAAGTATGACAAGCGCTATGGGGACCGCAAGGACTATCAAGAGTGGAAGAAGAACACACCCAAATTATTCCCCAAGATCTTCTAGGTGGCGAGACACGCACCACCACTTGAAATCCTTATCTACAATGAAGTTCTTGGTGCTCTAGAATTGCTCTACAGCGAGCTCAACTCCGCAGATAACTCAAACATAGAATTTATTCAATGCATGCACTACTCCTGACCAGCGCAAGGCTATAATCTACGGCAAGATAACTACCCTCGAGCTTGCACGGAGGACCCTCGTCCAATTCCTTCTTGCTCGTAGCCATTCTCATGTCCAGCACATTTGTCCCAGAGCGCCACATAAGAGATGCAAACACCCGCCGGGTTTCAGTAAATCATGAAAATGCGCCGTGTTCTCCCACAGTTTTGTTGTCAGATGGTTTATTGCGTAGGCAAACCGTCAATTTCCCAGCAATACTTACTGATGGAATTTCTTGACCTTCTCAACCTCGTTGAAACTGCCCATGAAAATTCCAGCCCTGTCGTGAATGTGTTCGGGTACAACATCCAGCATTCTCCTCATTTGACTATCTACTGCTTGGCCACCGGCTGCGAGTGTGTTAGCATGATGCAAACAGATTGGTGCAAATTCTACAACTAACCATTCTCAAACACCAACGCCATGGGCGCGCACTCGTACAGGATGCGGAGTTTACCCTTGGGGCTCTTCTTATCTGCCGGGTAGGCGAAGACTCCACCATACAACAACGTGCGGTAAGCGTCGGCGACCATGGAACCAATGTAACGCGCGCTGTACGGCTTGCCGTTCTCCTGCGGTGTTTTCAACGAGTTGAAGTAGTTGTTCGTGCTGTCCTCCCAGTAGAGCGAGTTACCCTCGTTGACCGAGTAGATAGCTCGGGACTGGGGAAGGCGCATGTCGGGGTGGGTGAGGATGAATTCGCCGACACCGTTGTCAAGGGTGAAGCCATTGACGGTGCCGCCTTTCATGGTGAGGACCAATTGCGTTGAGGCGCCGTACATGGTGAAGCCAGCAGCCAGGAGCTCCGAGCCAGGCTTCAGAACGTCCTCCTTCGTGCCGGTAGAGCCCTCAGGAAGCTTGTGGATACCAAAGATAGTACCGACCGAAACACCAGCGTCCAAGTTGGAAGAGCCGTCAATGGGATCACAGGCGACGGCGTAACGGGCGCCAGTAGCATCCTTGAAGAAGATGATCTCTTCCTCCTCTTCCGACACCAGCAGAGCGCATCTGCCAGAGGACCTCATAGCTTCGATGAAGAGGTCATTGGAGATGACGTCGAGCTTCTTTTGGTCGTCGCCCGTGATGTTGGAGGAACCGGCCAGGCCTGTCAGGTTAACCAGTGTAGCTCGGCGGATATAGTATGCGATGGACTTGAAGGAGAATTGCAGGGCATGGCACAGAAGACTAGAACCACAGTTAGAAGCGATCGTCGGACCCAGGAAGACGCAGGTTACCTACGTAAAATCTCCGGTGGCTTCCTTGTGCTTAGTTTGCTCTTCCGTCAGGAAACGGGTTAAGGTAATAATATTGGTGTTGATCTTTTCGGTCTCTTGTTCACCGGCGTTCGTTGTGTAGGCCGACATGTTGGACTAGATTTCAGGTCTGCGAGCCTCGAGTCTCAGCTTCTAATGGCAACGTAAACCGATCTGGTCTGCTTGCAGACGGGGGATGACCAACCGGATAATTCCAGTGGGAGGACGAGTGGTTGACGCTTGCGATTTCACGAGAGCTCTAACAAAGAGTGTTGCGCACTGACACAATGGTTCAGGATCTCAGCCGAAGGGGAGGGTGGAAAGACGAAGATCAATGTTGTGGGGAGGAGAGAGAAGAGAGGAGAGTAGTCGGAAGATGGAATCACGAAAGAGAGGAAAACTTGGAGGGAAAGTAGTTTGTTTGTAGTCTGGATCTGGGGGTATGGACTAATAGTTACCTGAGACTTCAGACAGCGTTGCCGGAAGCTCTCGTGTCTACAAAGAGGTCTCTGATGGGCAACCATGGCCAGCCACGGGAGAATGCCCCTCAGTTCGGCATACGGCTATCACAGGGCCACGTCCTATTATCGCGCGCGATCCCGAGTCACCACGACAAAGTGGAGCCAACCGTAGGCACCTCCGGCCGAGGGAAACCCGAGACATGGGGATGCAGGCGCAACAAGCTTAGGACGCAAGGCGCTCCTCGAGGATTTCTCGGAAACCCTCGGCGCGGTGTGCAGCGAGCAACACGATGGCTGCGGCAGTCTACGGGTGGTTTTGAGAGGCGGTTGGGCTGGAACAGAGAACCTTGCCTTTGGCGGGGGCGGGGGGGGCTTTGTGTGGGCAACACTCGCGTTGAAGTGGAGGGGACACTCTTCGGGGATAGGAGAAGAACAGGCAGAACAGCGGCAGAGAGGGACGGCGCATTAGACATGACCGACAGGGTGACATCATGCAGGTTGATGGGACGAAGGTTTTTTTTTTTTTTTTTTTTTTTTTTTTTTTTTTTTTAGATGTCTGTATTTTTTTTTTTTTTCGTTTTCGTCGTAACTAATCTTTTTTTTTTTTATTTCTCCTTTTTTTTATTTTTTCTGGGGTGTGTTTTGTTATTTTTTTTTTTTTTATAGTTTTTTATTTTTTTTTAGTTTTTGGACGGCAACTTCAGTGCTTTCCAAGCCGTTGGATCAGACAGACAATTATTTTCTGTATCCTCCCGCTTTTGCGCTATCTGCGTCCCCTCTTTCAACATGGGATGTCTTGGTTCCTGTAGTTTACCTTCCCAGCTCAAGACCAGAGAAGGTACTGACTTTGTCCGCACCATGCTCCTTAGCTGTCGCTTGAAAGGACCGACGGGGATGGGATGGATGGAGCTAGGAGTCTCTGCGATTCCAAACGCCGGATGGAAATAGAAAACAACAGGAAGTGGGATTGAGTGTGAATGACAAGGATCTATTCGCGAGTTCACTGACGACAATTGCCATAGTAGGAAAAACTAATCATCGTGTAGTCATAGGAAACTAGGCTCTCCATATTGGACGTGGAGATGCAGAGCTGGTTGCTCATGACTGAAAGGCGACAAGAACACGAACAGAAGCATTTTGATGTGTCAATATCCGAACCAGCGGCTCACACGGCACCTATCCTAGGTAGGCACTTTGTAAATGAGTTTTAAGTTAATAATTACTGGCCCTTGAGTAACTCCGTCAGTGTCACGGGTCACTCCTCATTTCCCCAAGCATCCGCCCCATTTCCTTAGCTAAGCTGCCCAGGCCCAAAACGTGCCTCAGTGTGGAGACACTAAGAGAGAAGGAAGTCTTTAGGTAGGCACGTGAGAGCCTTCTCCGCACCCGGCAGCTGGCCGGCTGCGCGTCTTTCAGTACTTCGGTCTGTCTCCCTAGACGGCTGGGCCCCATTATTAAGCCCCAGGCCCCCAGCTCTGCTAACATGTTTCGGGTTCGCTGGCGGACCTCGGCATGTGGCAGTTCGTCCTTGAGCCGGTAGGCCTGCCCAATGCTCTCTCTAAACCGCACCACCCCCGATAAGAGTTGTTGTTGCTTTCAATACCTGTCTTAAGAAAGACAACCTTCCGCGCAAACCAGCCCACGCTTCCTACGCTGTTCCCTATCAAAAACATCTCTATAACCCAGCAAACACCACCAATATACGCATCTCATCTTCCTCGCATCGCCATCAATTCCATTTCCCCTTTGAAGATACTTGGTGATTATTAATCCATACAACCGCCAAGATGGTCGCCGACGCCCTCATCTACCACCCGTCTGTATCGCACTACAATAAGTTTGTAGCTACGACTGTCGGCCGCGACAAGATTCTCCGTACGCTCCAGTACTTTGCCCGCTTCTACGCCTGGTATCTCTTCCGCACCAATGGCTCCAAGACCGAGATCGCACCATGGGACGCCATTAAGAAGCAGTTCGGCCTGACCCGCAAGATCATGCGCATTGGCAAAAACGTCGAGCACTTCAAGGCCGCCGCTGTCGCCTCTGACGCCAAAACAATGGACCCCGTCCTCCGCTACGCCGCTGTCGGCCGCCAGCTGGGTTACGCTGGTTACCTCACCTTCGATGCTGCCACCGTCCTCGATGCTGCTGGCATCAAGAAGTGGGAGGGCGCAAAGAGGCTGCAGAAGGAGGCATACCGCTTCTGGGCCATCGGCATCATCTTTAGCATTGTCGCTCAGACCTACACCCTGTACCGTCTCCAGCAACGTGAGGCCAAGGTTGATAAGAAGGAGGGCGAGGGTGTCGTCGAGTCGAAGAGAATAGCCATGTAGGTTCCACATACCCCCCGTCCCCCGCTAAGATGCTCCTCCCACGATCTGAAAACGGCGAGCTAATATTAACATCAGTGAGCGTGCCGCCGGCCGCCTGCAAATTATCTCCGATCTCTGCGACCTGACTGTCCCAACCTCTGCCCTCGCATGGGCCAACTTCGACGACGGCATTGTCGGCTTGGCTGGTACTGTGAGCAGTTTGATTGGCGTGTATACCCAGTGGAAGAAGACGGCATAATCGTAGTGGTTGATGGAACGAGGGGGTATTGTATACGTATGCGTGTGATGACCTGCGCTGTATGTCGGATAAAGAGATGCGTCTTCGAAGCGACTGGTTTGATACTTTGGTTACATTGAAGAGGGGGGGAGGACGTGTTGAGCTTGTTGGAGGCAATGCCTTGGAAATCTTTTGGGCGTTCGGAATGTACCTAGCCTGGGCTGAAGGCACGGGGCTATGATGGATGGGACAGGGTAGGCAGACTGCGAGGCACTCTCTGCTGTCGATGTGGACACGACAGTCAGCTTGTATACCAAGCAAACCACTTTTTAGTCACATTGAAAATTCAAGATATCTACAACGGACATATGTACATCTTTCTGAGGGCAAGTGTCCACACTACCCTCTGCCGCTCCGGCTGATTCGAGAGAGACTAGGAACGCTCAGTCTGAGCCGTGGTGCTGTTGCCCGATCAAATTGAAAGACATTCTCCCAAGATCACTCTTGTGCTCACGAGGTCTATACGCCTATTCATTTTCGGGTGGATACCCGTGCAAGTATCCGTGATCATACAATATACATCATGCAGTCAAAGCTCCCCACATTCCTGGGCTCAATGGATGCTATGTTGCTGTATCTGCAACCGTGTTCATGATGCTTCCACAATAATCATAATTTGGAACATGCCTCTGACCTCTCCTTGATGGACGCATAACGCGCAAGCATGATCGTGCTCAACTACATAATCCCATTCTCACGGAACACCGCTTGTTGCCATTGATATTTACCATTCTGGGCCGAGCCATTGAAGGAGAGGTGCTTCCAGGATCTATTCAGAGTCAAGGACAGCCCCTATGAGGCAAGTTTGTGAGCAGGAGTGAGTTACCAGTAACGGCCACCACGTTCATACTCGCGAGGGTACCCATCACGCGGGTAACCTGCTTCCCTAGGGGGAAAGTCTCTCGGAGGGCGGTCGTACGGCCCTCTGCCGTTGACGTAGGGGTCAGGCGGCGGGGGGTAGTCCCTCCGGTACGGGTCGTCATAGCGGCCTCGCGGAGGGGGGTAATCGTCGATGGGGCGCCGCGGAGGAGAGCGGTAACGATTACGTTCATCGTAGTACTCGCGGCGCGGAGGACTCCGCTCACGGTATCCCTCACGATAACCATCTCGGCGCGGACTGTAGCCTCTCGGGGGACCACGTCGGTCGTAATCATCGACTGGGGGCGGGTAGGGTCGACGACCGCCGCCGGGCGAACGAGACCGAGCGCTGCGCATATCGCGAGGCGGCATATCCGGTTGTGTCTGGTTTTGTGTGAGCACAATTGTCTTCTCATCATCAGCCATGGACTCTCGCTTACGTCTGCTACACAGGTAACCCGATTTCCCTTGAATTCGCGGCCGTCAAGCTTCTCAACGGCAGTTCTCAAGTCCGCCGCAGTCTCGAATTCAACGAAGCTGGGTGGAGTCTTGATCAGCAAGTGCACAATTACAGGTAGTAGATTGTGGCCAACATACCCGCGCCCGTTGCCATCGCGGGGCGTTTCAGAGTAGACAACGTCAAGGCTTGATTGACGGGCAAAGTCTTTGAGGTCCTATATCCAGAATCCATGTAAGTTGGTGTCCAGGATCGGTGTAATGGGCCGAAGAGGGCTGATAATCCGGGGGTAATAGACCAGTCGGCGGCAAGCCAAGGGAATTGAAGCCAGGAGTGGTGTCGTCCGGCATTGGAGTTCCGTCGCTGCTTTGGCAGGCCCCTGCCGATTCAGAGAAACGGCCATGGACTTGGGAAAGCAAGTTTCAGGAGCGCAGACATGCCGCAAAGTCCACCTCGAAGGGTATGATGAAGGTCCAGGCGCGCCATACGCGCATAAAATAAGGGAATCCGGGAATCCAGCTTAGAGAATGGGGGAAGAGCAACAGACCTGCCAACTGGTATCGGTGGGAAGTCCCGTGATCTGCATTCTGTGGGGAGTGCGGCGAGGCCTAGGAGGTGCGCGCTCATTGTTGCCAAAGCCGCCAGCACTGCCGCCCTCCCGATGACGGGTTCCACGGGCAAATTGTACAGTCAAGCGTTCACCCATAAAATCGGATCCATCTTTTCAACGCTGTGGTTAGCGCACCAGAAGTGAAGGTTTATCGTTGATGGTAGAACGGCGCAATGGGACGTACGGAAAGCTGTGCAAGTAACAAGTCAGCGACAGGGTAACAGGTAAGACAGTAACAATAGCTGGAGGCTACCAACCAGGAACAACATCGCGGGCATCCATGGCATCCTTGTACTCGATGAACCCGAATCCGTTCATGAGCTTAATTTCAGTGATCTCGCCAGTGCCATGGGTCGCGAAATGGGCCTCAACATCGGCCTTGGTGGCTACGCAAGTTAGCAGGTTGCGACGACGCGTCGGGCGATGCGCAAGGCTGAGCTCACCATTGCGAGGGAGGTTTCCCAGGTACAGCCTGGTGGAGGATACCTCGGTCATAGTGGCGATAAACAGGATGCGTCCTTGGGAAATCAGTCAGGGTCGTAGAGAGAAACAAATGTAGGCGCAAGACTCCAGCCTGGATGGGAGAGGTTTGGCAGAGACGATGGTCCGTGGACTGGGCAGGGAGAGACGTCCAAAGCCTTTCCGGAGCAGTGCTATTGGAACAGCTGCGAAGGTAGAGAAATGGGCGAGATGCCTGGGAAAGAGGAGGCCCCAGCGAAAGAGGCCAGTTTCGTACGGCGCAAGAAATCGGGTATACTGACGATTCAATAAGAAGACGTGACGCCTGGTCTAGTCGTCGCCCAAGGTATGCGAGAGGGGGATGTAGACACGTCAGGCGCGGTTGGGGGGTGTAGATATTATGAGGACCAGAATGTCGACGTTAGCCCGATCGGTCGACTTGCGATTGGTTAGAACAGAGATGGAAATCTCTATGTGTGAGGGCCTGCAGTGGTCGATGATGGAAAGGAAGCTGATGGGGGAAGGGGAGTGATTACATATCAACGCTGGCTAGAGGTAGCCAGGTCTCTCCTGGGATGTGGCAGGTATTGATGATTGTAACGGAGTTT